GAGTCTGGGGCCCGAAACATGGCCCAGTTTTCGACAGGTTTCGATAAAGTTTACTGCAATATTCTGTGCCGTTCAACATAAAAAATTTAAAATATTTCGGAACGACATTAAGAGATCATAATGTGATTTATGAGGAGATTGAAGTCGGGTAACGCTTGCTACCATTCAGTCCAGAATCTTTTCTCTTCTCTGCTGTCCAAAAACATAAAAACATACAAAACTATAATTTTGCATGTGGTTCTGTATGGTGTGAAACTTAGTCTCTGACATAAGGGAGGAACATAGACTGAGGGTGTTTGAGAACAGGGTGCTGAGGAGAATATTTTGACTGAAGAGAGATGAAGTGACAGGAGGTTGGAGAAAACTGCATAATGAGGAGCTTCATAACTTGTACTCTTCTCCAAGCATAATTAGAATGATCAAGTCAGGGAGGATGAGGTGGGCAGGGCATGTAGCACGAATGGGGAGAAGAGGAGTATATATAGGAGTTTGGTGAGGAAAGCTAGAACGATGGAAACCACTAGGTAGATCCAGACACAGGTGGGGGAAAACATTAATATGGATTTTAGAGGACTGGGATGGCCCGATAAGGGCTGGATTGAACTGGCTCAGGATAGGGATCAGTGATGGCCTCTTGTGAATACGGCAATGAACCTTTCCGTTCAGTGAAATGTTGGGAACGACTGGCGTCTTGTCAAGAAATACTTAGCTCCCTGCAGTTAGATATTCAACATAAATACGGGTATGAAAACCAATAATGCGCGCAATACTGGAAGTGATATTTTAAGTGTTTTTTGAAGATTAATCGATTCAGACCTCTGTTCTCGGGTCATCTTTCTTCCGCATGATTTTCTTCGGCCTTTACAATGCTGACACAATCCCAAATAATAATTGAAGCCGTTAGATATAATAAACACGAGACTGGCATAATAAGAGAAGATTTCCATTTAGCATGACATGCGCATCTTTTCTGCGTTGGCCTACACGCAATGCGTTTTGCGCGGTGAGCACAGCAGCTAGAGGGCAGGGTGATACCAGACAGCTGTACAGCGCTTTCTGCGTTGGCCTACACGCAATGCGTTTTGCGCGGTGAGCACAGCAGCTAGAGGGCAGGGTGATACCAGACAGCTGTACAGCGCTTTCTGCGTTGGCCTACACGCAATGCGTTTTGCGCGGTGTGTACGGCAGGGTGATACCAGACAGCTGCACAACGCTGCCCTTCGCCAACACAGTCAATCTTGGTTTCGGATCCCGTCGAGACCCACGACCATATTTTTTTCGTTCCAAGACGTTTATGTGTTTTAAAATGGGGCCTCCTCTTTGATGAGAAGGAGAGGTATGACTACTACTGGCCACATCCCCTCCCGTCCATTGGGGGTTGACCTAAAAGCCTACTTTCTTAAGTGTCGATATGACACAGACTGCATGGGAAACACAGCCCCCGGAAACCTTTAAATGCAATGTGATATGATGTCTCAAACTCAAAAGAGTGGAACCAAGAGACGGCTGTTACTAGCCAAAGGCTCGGTGAACATGTTCCCGCGGAAACGAGTATACAGGCAGAATATTTGTGGGGGGGGGGCACACAGACAGCAAGGTGATTTCACAAGCCTCCTTTTATTTTCCAAAATAAGAAGAGTGGGCTAAAAACAGCCCTTATTACAATGAAGCTTATGCATGTTAGCATTCTGATGTTACTGCTGGCAATTCCAGTCTTGAGACTTGCAACGATTACGAGAAGGCAGAGTAGACGGATCAGTTTCCGGCCTTTCCTTCTTTCCCTTCCGCCCCCTTCCACAATCCCCAACAAGTGTCAAGACACAAGCACCCATATCTACATTAAAAGGATATGTAAAAGTTAATTTTGGCTCGTAATTACAGTGAATATTAAACAAGACAACTAAAAAAATTACCTGATATAATTTAGTATAGATCGAACACATCAAGTTTTATCGAGAAAGATCGAATATTTTGGCATCTACCACCAGTGGATGTGACAGATTAATAGGCAGACTTAAATAACTTTGTTTCCGAAAAAGCACAAAAATCATGGAGCAATTGCCATGAAGGAGAAGATAAAAAATAGACACGTAAAGCCTTCTTTAGTTGCTTTGTTGAAATGCTGAAAGCAGTATTTTCGTTGACTTCACTGCAAGTCATTACACATGGCATGGAATTAGGTTCTGATCACTCTAGCAGATATAATTATTTCAATCTTTTGTGGCATTGGGCTATGAGAAATTACGGTTTCATACAAGCAAGGGGTGACATAGGATTCAGAGCACATGTTGACTATAAACAAGACTGTATCATTGGTATCCGAACAGCGTACAAACCGCAAATACAGATCAATAACCCTAATCAGCGTGTTAACGGTAACATACAAGAAAAAAATGTGGTCAGTTGTGCTATGTTGATTCCAAACGGAGATACAAATTTCCCACCACGTGACAATTTTGAATGTTTAATATTTAGCCAAATCATGCTTCCTTTTAACTTTGTACTTTTCCATAATATTCTTATAACTATGTTTCAACCACAATGGGATAAATATTTTGTTGGACAATGAAGGTTTATTTCAATTTAAATAAGCCATTGTTAAAAACTGTTTAATAAGTTCTATATGCGTTTATGTCTTCTGTACATATAAGAGACACAGAATAACAACAGATCTGTCCGCGTTATCACTTCTTCACTCATTTTTTCGATCAGCGTAACCGATCTAATTAATAATAACTTATTTCTTACATGTTATGAAAAGGTGAAACTTTGTTCTGTTGTGTAATTAGTGTTTTAAAATATTACCATATAAAATTTAGTCTTACAATTTCTCTGTTATTTTCACACATTTTGTATGCCTATACCTAACACAAAACCTAAACGATTCAAGCTCCTTTAACTCTTACCTAACCTTCGTCAACTAACTCATGAGAAGGCACTGCAACACACAATCAAGCAACATATGAAGGTGAGCAAATTCATATAAAAACGCATGCGCAGGAGGAATCAAGATTAGGCCAAGGACAACTTCATCGACGCAGACGCGTCGGAATCCAAAAATGTTATGTCAATTACGTTTCATAATAGAAAAAGGCCGAAACCGTATACGACTGAAAATCGACGCTGGTTCCTAGACCGACGCAAGCGTCGAAGTTGTCTCCAACGATGAGCGTGGGATATATTATGAGGATAGTGACAAATCACTAACAGCATGGCCGGAGTACATTTACGGCGTGTGGGAATCAAATCCATCCCAGATTTCCAAGACCAATTATCATTCAAAATTAGCGGAAACTCTGAAGTAACTGACCCAACTTAACTTAACCTAACCTAATCTAATCTAAACTCATTTAATCGTTACTAAACCTGCAAACCTTAACTAACACAGTCTACAGGCGTACTAAAGTAACGTACTACGAAGATCACATTTACATAGCGCATGCGCAAGGAACCAACGAAACACATCAAATTAACGCCACTAATACCTAAGTGACGAATGACTTGTTCACTATGCTTCAGAATAGAAAGAAGTGTAAATCTTAATCTATGTATAGAACTATAATACTGACGCTGGCGCCTAAAACCGGCGCTGACACCTAAAACCTGGCTGTAGCTAAAGTTGGCCCAGATGAGAAGGAAAATTACGGTAATATATTGGAATAAACTCATGTGTATATACTTCATTCATCAATCATCAGTAATCTGTCACACGACAGGTCCACAGTCTCTTCCAAAACAGTTCCTCCACTTAATGCGATCTAGAGCTTTCTCCTTCAAATGAGAATACCCTCTTCTGTCCCCAAGGTCATCCAGCATCTTCTTACGTCTATTTCCTCGTCCTCTGGTCGCGTACATGGTATCTCTTTTTTTGGAAAGAGACTATCCAGGAAAAGTGATAATGTGGTAGTTTTTCCATTTGCTTTCCACATCGCAGTACAACAGCCGTTCAAACCACTCTGGTCACGCCTGTTGCTATACGAACTTGAACCATCTCGAGCATCATTTGCTCTGTGCTTCAAGTCACTGCTGATGACGCTGCTTCCGGCATCAGTTTTTGAATTTTGGTCTCTCTCTTCGTCTGATGCCTACCTTTTGACCTGTCCAGCAAGGGAGGCCCTGCCAGTAGCTACGCTACAGCTGGTATAGCTCTCAGGGTCCTTGGCATACTGAAAGCCCCTCACCACGATAAGGTGGAGACACCAACGAGGGGGTGCGTATACTACGTGAAGAAAAATGTAAGTAAACAAAGAGATTCCGCCTCATGTCCCTTAACTTAACTTAACCTGTCACTCACCGACCCCACCGAAATCTGTACGTAACTTAACCCAGATTGAGTTTAGCATCATTATATAAAATCAACCAAGACTTGAGCTTCCGTCGCTGAGTACGTGTATGTTAGCAAGTAGTTACGAACTGAAGTATAAGATGAGCGTAGTGGTAAGGGTGCCAGTTAGGGCCAATGCCGATAAAAAAAATCCTTAGACAGCACCACCGTTTAGGACATACTTTAGTGCTATTAAGTTTCCTGTCTTAATTTAAATGAGGGGGGAGCGGTAGTGTAGTTGGTTGAGGCACTATGCTATAGGACGGAAGGTGGCGGGTTCAAGTCCCGATGAGGTCATTGGATTTTTTTCTATTTACCTAATCCTTCCAGCCGCAATATGGCCCTGGGGTCGACTCAGCCTCTAACAGAAATGAGTACCAGGAATCTTCTTCCGATATCCTTGGGGAAATGGCGGCCGGTGCGTAGGGCTGACAACCTGACCGCCATCTATGAGCCAACTGTCTAGAAAATGTGGGAACCTCAACATCTCATAACCCTATAAGCCTCCATGGCCTGTTAAAGGAATACCTTTACTTTGTTTATCTTAATTTAAATGCACCTGTGCTGCCAGAGCTTTCAAGTTGATATTACGTATTTTTATGAACAACTTTTTAACAGCTGAAGTACGAGTAAAACAAGATGGAGTATTCAGGTGAGATGTAGAAAATGTGCCTACCTTCTTAAACGGATGCACGATTCAGCTCTGGAAATAAAACAGACGAGAAAATTAGACATGAAGTTGTTTTAGATAACATATCGGAAGAAGTTGTTAGTTGTCAGATCAATCTTGAATTAGGAAATAATAAATTACACTGACAATAGCGATCGGACTGAAAGATCCCCCCAAGAAAAAAAGAATGTCGATCTATCATAATTGCAGAATAACAATTAATTAAAGATAATTTAAACGATTTTTAGAATAACAAATTCCACTCTTTATGGTCTTCCATGAGCAGTTCATAGTTTTCAGCTGATTCAATGGAACTTGAATATTCATCGGTGTCAATCTTTCATTGGACCGTACTGAGCCAGCTCAATCAATTCCACATTATTAAAACTGATTGCCTTTACTTTAGTAGTATCCTCCCATTCTTCTTCCTTAATGGTGGGGAAGTACATCAGCAGCCAGCATTATAAACTGACTGGTAACACGCATTTTCTGAGTTCATCTCTCCATAATATTCCAATTTATGTATTTAATTGCGTTTTCTAAGCATTAGGAGCTGTACATAAGTTATGAATTTGATGTGTATTCTGGCGTCGAAGACAAACAAAGAAAAACAAAAGTTGTGGCCTGTAGTCCGCAAGCGAACTATACCGACCGAGCGACCGCCGCTTGTCGACGAAGCTAGGACCCCTATTTTGGTCTAGTGTTCAGAGTTCCGGGCTACAGATCCAGAGGTCCCGGGTTCGATTCCCCCCGCTACCAGATTTTCTGAGGAGTAGTGGGTCTGGAACGGGGTTCATTTAGCCTCGTGTGGATAACTGATGAGCTATTTTAAGGCAATGGCGGATCCGGTCTAGAAAGCCGAGATTAACGGCCGTGGGGATCCGTTGCGCTGAGCACGCGACGCACTCTGTCCACAAAAGTTGGCTGGCGTCGTAGTCAGTATTTAATTTCCTCTGCGTTCTTTTCAAGACAGACTTCCTGGCGAGACCCTTGTATACTGTGTTTTAAGGTAATTTCGTAGCGTTAGTACGCATGAGCAGATGTGCTCCAGTCAGCGTCAGCCTGAATATTGAGCTGATAGCGCATCTCCATGTGCTACCGAAATTTCCTTCACTTCCCCCAACGTTTCTTGAAATTGTATGGACAAGTTACCACTATGAAGAATGACGTCTTCCGGGATGTGGCGCCGTGCAGATCTTGTGTAAACCGACGCTTCGGAGGAAAGTATCGTCTCAAACTTTAGGGTAGAAAAATCCGCGAGCGAGGAACCAGCGCTGAAAACTCCTGGTCACGATGGTTCCTCGTTCGCGGATTTTTTACCTTGAAGATGGAGGCGATACATTTCTCTGAAACGTCGGTTTACACAAGATCTGCAAGGCGCACCATCACGGAAGACGGCATTCTTCATAGTCACGGCCGTGAAAATCTCAAATATTACAAGTTACCCTATTTTTAAATATTCAATTTTGAACTTAAAAAGAAATAGCGATAAAAACGTTCATCTTAGAGCCGTATGTTTCTGCTTGTTCTGACGCACTTTTGCAATATCTCACATGCGCCACGGCCGGCTGATTGCATTAAGCTGCGCAGATGGACCACTGTGATTTTCTTTCAGGAATACAATCATTAAGAAATTTATGACTCAGGCCATATCTGAAATTTAGGGTGGGAAACATCAGCCATCACACTGCAGCACCAAATCGTAACATGGAGCGATGCAGCGGTTCCTTAGAAAAGAGCAATTTTTGAGAATGCGAGTAAGAATTCAAAACTGAATAAAGATTAGATTCTGAAGGGCTCTGACGATGCTGTATAAGACTCGGGGATACAAGACTTTTAGACGTTGTCCATTGATCGTTATTCTAAAAACACGACGTATCGAAAAGTGTATCTGTTTCCTTCCTCTGGTGAGGGTCCGCTGCGTCCGTTAGAATAAGTTAAACCAAATCACAAGACTGATTGAGGTTAGTTCCTTCTAGCGGACCCAACTGGATAGTTGACTTCCATCCATCGCCTGTGGACGGAAAAAATCCAGTGCAGAACCAGATCAAAACGCAGTCATTCCAATTAAATTCCAGTTTAACCTGTTTTGTTTATACATCTCCCACACTAACGGGACAACGGAGTGAGGATGTATGGCAGCTTGGTGCTGAGGAGAATGTAGTGAGGATGTGTGGCAGCATGGTGCTGAGGGGACGTAGTGAGGATGTGTGACAGCATGGTGCTGAGGAGAACGGAGTGAGGATGTGTGGCAGCAATGTGCTGAGGAGAACGGAGTGGGGATGTGTGGCAGCATGGTGCTGAGGAGAACGGAGTGAGGATGTGTGGCAGCATGGTGCTGAGGAGAACGGAGTGAGGATGTGTGGCAGCATGGTGCTGAGGATGACGTAGTGAGGATGAGTAGCAGAATGGTGCTGAGGGGAAGAGAGTGAGGATGTGTGGCATCATGGTGCTGAGGGGGACGCAGTGAGGATGTGTAGCAGCATTTTGCTGAGGGGGACGAGTGAGAATGTGTGGCAGCATGGTGCTGAGGAGAACGGAGTGAGGATGTGTGGCAGCATGGTGCTAAGGAAACGGAGTGAGAATGTGTGGCAGAATGGTGCTGAGGAAACGGAGTGAGGATGTGCGGCAGGATGGTGCTGAGGAAACGGAGTGAGGATGTGCGGCAGAATGGTGCTGAGGAAACGGAGTGAGGATGTGTGGCAGCATGGTGCTGAGGAAACGGAGTGAGAATGTGTGGCAGAATGGTGCTGAGGAAACGGAGTGAGGATGTGTGGCAGCATGGTGCTGAGGAAACGGAGTGAGAATGTGTGGCAGAATGGTGCTGAGGAAACGGAGTGAGGATGTGTGGCAGCATGGTGCTGAGGAAACGGAGTGAGAATGTGTGGCAGAATGGTGCTGAGGAAACGGAGTGAGGATGTGTGGCAGCATGGTGCTGAGGAAACGGAGTGAGAATGTGTGGCAGAATGGTGCTGAGGAAACGGAGTGAGGATGTGTGGCAGCATGGTGCTGAGGAAACGGAGTGAGAATGTGTGGCAGAATGGTGCTGAGGAAACGGAGTGAGGATGTGTGGCAGCATGGTGCTGAGGAAACGGAGTGAGAATGTGTGGCAGAATGGTGCTGAGGAAACGGAGTGAGGATGTGTGGCAGCATGGTGCTGAGGAAACGGAGTGAGAATGTGTGGCAGAATGGTGCTGAGGAAACGGAGTGAGGATGTGTGGCAGCATGGTGCTGAGGAAACGGAGTGAGAATGTGTGGCAGAATGGTGCTGAGGAAACGGAGTGAGGATGTGTGGCAGCATGGTGCTGAGGAAACGGAGTGAGAATGTGTGGCAGAATGGTGCTGAGGAAACGGAGTGAGGATGTGTGGCAGCATGGTGCTGAGGAAACGGAGTGAGAATGTGTGGCAGAATGGTGCTGAGGAAACGGAGTGAGGATGTGTGGCAGCATGGTGCTGAGGAAACGGAGTGAGAATGTGTGGCAGAATGGTGCTGAGGAAACGGAGTGAGGATGTGTGGCAGCATGGTGCTGAGGAAACGGAGTGAGAATGTGTGGCAGAATGGTGCTGAGGAAACGGAGTGAGGATGTGTGGCAGCATGGTGCTGAGGAAACGGAGTGAGAATGTGTGGCAGAATGGTGCTGAGGAAACGGAGTGAGGATGTGTGGCAGCATGGTGCTGAGGAAACGGAGTGAGAATGTGTGGCAGAATGGTGCTGAGGAAACGGAGTGAGGATGTGTGGCAGCATGGTGCTGAGGAAACGGAGTGAGAATGTGTGGCAGAATGGTGCTGAGGAAACGGAGTGAGGATGTGTGGCAGCATGGTGCTGAGGAAACGGAGTGAGAATGTGTGGCAGAATGGTGCTGAGGAAACGGAGTGAGGATGTGTGGCAGCATGGTGCTGAGGAAACGGAGTGAGAATGTGTGGCAGAATGGTGCTGAGGAAACGGAGTGAGGATGTGTGGCAGCATGGTGCTGAGGAAACGGAGTGAGAATGTGTGGCAGAATGGTGCTGAGGAAACGGAGTGAGGATGTGTGGCAGCATGGTGCTGAGGAAACGGAGTGAGAATGTGTGGCAGAATGGTGCTGAGGAAACGGAGTGAGGATGTGTGGCAGCATGGTGCTGAGGAAACGGAGTGAGAATGTGTGGCAGAATGGTGCTGAGGAAACGGAGTGAGGATGTGTGGCAGCATGGTGCTGAGGAAACGGAGTGAGAATGTGTGGCAGAATGGTGCTGAGGAAACGGAGTGAGGATGTGTGGCAGCATGGTGCTGAGGAAACGGAGTGAGAATGTGTGGCAGAATGGTGCTGAGGAAACGGAGTGAGGATGTGTGGCAGCATGGTGCTGAGGAAACGGAGTGAGAATGTGTGGCAGAATGGTGCTGAGGAAACGGAGTGAGGATGTGTGGCAGCATGGTGCTGAGGAAACGGAGTGAGAATGTGTGGCAGAATGGTGCTGAGGAAACGGAGTGAGGATGTGTGGCAGCATGGTGCTGAGGAAACGGAGTGAGAATGTGTGGCAGAATGGTGCTGAGGAAACGGAGTGAGGATGTGTGGCAGCATGGTGCTGAGGAAACGGAGTGAGAATGTGTGGCAGAATGGTGCTGAGGAAACGGAGTGAGGATGTGTGGCAGCATGGTGCTGAGGAAACGGAGTGAGAATGTGTGGCAGAATGGTGCTGAGGAAACGGAGTGAGGATGTGTGGCAGCATGGTGCTGAGGAAACGGAGTGAGAATGTGTGGCAGAATGGTGCTGAGGAAACGGAGTGAGGATGTGTGGCAGCATGGTGCTGAGGAAACGGAGTGAGAATGTGTGGCAGAATGGTGCTGAGGAAACGGAGTGAGGATGTGTGGCAGCATGGTGCTGAGGAAACGGAGTGAGAATGTGTGGCAGAATGGTGCTGAGGAAACGGAGTGAGGATGTGTGGCAGCATGGTGCTGAGGAAACGGAGTGAGAATGTGTGGCAGAATGGTGCTGAGGAAACGGAGTGAGGATGTGTGGCAGCATGGTGCTGAGGAAACGGAGTGAGAATGTGTG